AGCGGAACAAGGAAAGAGTATTCACGTGATATATATTTTTATTTATTTTTTCGTCCTGGGTTGGTGAGTCCTGGAGATGGAAGTACAGTTGAAATTAATTAGAGGGTGTTTGGTGGGGATTAAAATTAGATTTTTAATGGATTATGATATAAGTTTTTGAAATGTGTAGTTGTAAAGATGTAGGACCCATGAAAGATGTGGTTAATATTGATGGTTTGATTTTAACTTAAATTAAAATTAAATTTTAATTCGGTCCAAACATGCCCTTAGTGTAAATTCTGAAAATGAGTGGGAGACCATACACAAAAGAAAAGTTCAGTTTTTTGGTCATAGGGTCCGATGCTTTAATTATGCAATGGGTGTCGAAGAAACACACTCATTTCTCTTTTTGACTCTAAATTGAAGGGCCTATTGATCAATAAAGACATGGAAAAGTGAAATGTGGGGTTGGAACCTGAAAGTGGGATTCTTGATGATGAAGAAAGAGAAATAGGAATGAGGGATAAAGGTTCGTTGATTTTGATTTTTAAATGTAAATTTACAAAGACTTATCAAACGATATACCTGGGTTCGAGTCACATTAGGGGTTGAGGTTTAAATAAAATAAAAATTCGAGTTGAAGCATTTCGATTTTAAAAGAAGTTGATCCAATGTAATTTTAGCTAAAGTTCTTATAAAATTAGCCGCTGTTTGGTAGAAATTAAAATTAAAATTTTAATTAAATCAAATTCAATAATTAATTTTAACATCATATTTCATGGGACTAACAATTATTCAAAACACATTTCATCAATTTTTATGAAAATCTAATAAAAATTTGATTTTAATCTCCACCAAACAATGATAGTTTTCAAATACCAATTAAGGTAGCTTCCTCGTACTTCTCTTCTACAAGAAGTATAAGCAATAGTAGAAGGCCTGACAAACAGCCTTAGTTCATTAAGTTGATTCATGTTCTTGTATTTTATAACATTTTGGATAATAAAAAACTACACTTTAAAATTGGAAGTGATTTTGCCAACGAATTTTGCCACTTTGTCTTTAACTGGCGCTGTGACATAATTCGATGTGGTAGCAGATGCTTTGATGGAAAAGTTGATTATGTTTAAAATAATTCAATGATGGAATGTCATGTAATATTATGTCAAGGATTATGTCAAGTCTCGACACAGTATCTTGATTCTTTTGCTAACTTCCATGTTGATTTTGGAGTGCGGAATCGAAGGCTCATGACACGGTCGATTTTTTTTTTTTTTTTTTCTTTCTTTTTTTTGAAAGTGAGCTTTAACTTTTTCTTTTTTTCAGTTTTCTATTTATTTTAATTAATTTTAAATGTCTTTATGCCTTGGCTAACGGTGGTCCACAACAAATATTCAACTGTTTTCTCCCTCCTGCTTTTAGAGAATACCAAGAATTTCCATATTATCAAGAGACAAATTCTATTTTTATTTTTAGCTCTTTTAATTTAATAAACTTAAAAGCACAAGCCTACGGTTATAAAACGGGTTAAATGCACCGTGGGTCATCCAACTTTGAGTGGAGGAACATTTAGGTCACTTGTCTTCGATTTGGTGCAATCAAATAATCTCACTTTGATTTTCTTACATATTTAGTAACTCATCTTTAATTTGATGCAGCCAACTTGCTCAACTTCGATTTGCTTGCAGATATGATTACTTTATCCACCACTATCATTTTAACTAATGAAATGTATCATGTCGACGTTTATAATAATGAATAGTTAAATTCTAAAAACATGCTTTCAGTTTGTATGATTTTTTTAATAAAGTATTTTAATATGGACGATGTGCATTGTTATGTGACGTGAAAATAAATTATATTAATACATTAATTTTAATTTCGATGTAAGCATATAGCGTTAATTAAATGGACAGAGACATTTATAGAATGACCCTATTTCAGCGATGAAGGGGCATAACTCTAACCTTCAAAGTGAACAACTATGAGCGTGTTACTTGCATTACTTGCATGCAAATCAAAGTTGGGTAACCTGATTGCACAAAATTGAAGATGAGTGATTAATTCTGTAATCAGATCGAAGTTTGATGATATTATTGTACCAAATTGAAAATGAGTACCTAAATACATTTCCGCGCAAAGTTGGGTGACCCGTAGTGCATAAACTCGAAACAAAACAGACTAAGTAGACTAAGTCCGTAAACTCGAAACAAAACAGACTAAGTAGGCTAAGTCCCGGTTTGAGCCACATTCTCATTATCATTCTTCTACTTATTTTCAACTACACATTCTTCAATAAAATAATATTTTTTCATCACATCAATAACTTTTTCTTTTTTTCAACTGCATATTCACCATCACATCACAAAAAAAAAAAGCAGTCTTTCCATTTTAATGTGCATCAAACACACTTTCCAATAGATGTTCAATATCTTAATCGACAAATTACGTAAAGAATAAAGGTGCGATAAATTACTAACATTCAAGAGTTTGAATTAATTCTCTTATCATAATTGATCTTTTATAAGTAGATGTTCAATTTTCAAAATTCTTAGAACTTTTTGTAACGTTTGGTGGAAGAAAGCACTTGTTAATAGCCACGTTTAAATCAAAAGTCTAAGAATTTTAATAAAATTCTATCTAGTGATTTTGACAACATCATGTGGGCCCATAAACAAATTGTAATGGCAACAGACGTACCAAAAAAGAGGACGAAAACTGATGAAGAGTCAAATGTGCTAATCTTGTGAATCACCTTATCATCATATGAAAGAGACATTCACTAATCCCATGTGATATAACGAAGATATTCCACCAATATATTTGTAGAAACAAAAGCGACATCTCAAATAAATATCTTCTCTCATTTCTGGTCACTATTCAATTTTCTTTTTTCTTTGTTGGCCTTTTAGATTTAGCGTCCGTTTCGCTCCCGTTATTCCACATTATAATGAGAAATAATATTTTTTTAAAAAAATATGTGATTAACAAAGAAAGAAAAATTTAAGTAATATTATTTTATTGATAAGAAAATAGGGAAAATGAATTATAATTTAATGTGGCATAACGATGACTTGTAATCTCAGATTTTGTGTTAGGGTATCAAATGAAAACGTCGTGCAGTTGACGCATAATCAAGAATTCTGTTTCACAACCGTTTATAAAAAAAGAAATGGAACCCACAGTTTATTTTATGTTAAAACGACATCCATTTTCA